ATCAACAGAGATTGATATTTTGGTTCTATTTCTCTCATAATTCTCCAATCTAACTGCTGAATACATACACACGCTGCTAAAAACCACACACAGAGACTGCTAAATACAGACACACACACACACAGGCTGCTAAAAACAAACACAGACTGCTGAATACACGCACACACAGACTGCTGAATACACACACACAGACTGCTGAATACACACACAGACTGCTGAATACACACACACACAGACTGCTGAATACACACACACACAGACTGCTGAATACAAACAGAGACAGCTGAATACATACACACAGACTGCATACTCACAGACTGTTGAATCCACATACTGCTGAATACACGCACACACAGACTGCTGAATACACGCACACACAGACTGCTGAATACACGCACACACAGACTGCTGAATACACACACACACAGACTGCTGAATACACACACACACACACAGACTGCTGAATACAAACAGAGACAGCTGAATACACACACGGACTGCTGAATACATATACACAGACTGCATACTCACAGACTGTTGAATCCACATACTGCTGAATACACACACACAGACTGCTGTATACACACACACACAGACAGACTTCTGAATAGACACACACACACACACAAAGACTGCTGAATGCACACAGACCTCTGAATACACACAGACAGACCTCTGAATACACACAGACAGACTGCTGAATACATACAGAGACTGCTGAATACATACAGAGACTGCTGAATACACATACACACAGACTGCTGAATGCACACCCAGACTGTTGAATACAAACACACACATAGACTGCTGAATATATACACACACACGTACCTACCTACTCTCAGGACTCAGGTTTTGCTGCCATGCTTCCATCTGCTTGTCGAAAGCACTAAACACCCTGGTGGCCAGTGCCCATATTGCAGAACATTCTCCTCACAGAAAAATACTGGCAATTGACTTGTATTGTTGGTATTTGTGGAATACCAGCACCAGCCACATGGCATCAAATACCAGCTAGATGCCAACTCGTGACCTCAATTTCCACCCAGTTTGCACCCAATGTAATGAATAGTAAATAATAGTCTACAATTGTGCTGGTCTGTGCCGATGTGTGGCTGTTTTTTAGTGGTAACTTAAGGAAATCAGTGATTAACATTGCACCAGAAACGTCAATCCGTTTAATACAGCATACTAGGGGTGATTAAAGGTAAAGGATTTCTACAAGCACACTAACCACTCACTGATTTGAAGTGGTAATTGAAGGGCGAGAGAAGCAAGAGGGGGAGTAAGTGTGAGAAAGGTACCTCATATCTATGGGAACCTTACAAGCATGGGAAAGGTTAAAATCAGAAGAACTTGGGCAACATTATAATAAAGACTTTCCAGTAAGACCAAGATGTATCATAGACTTTAGCCATTAGATTATCTATTAAATTCACATTTTAGGGGGGCGGTGCTTAGCGATTGAAGAGAACGGTCGCATGCCCTCTGAGCTCTGGGCCGCGAGACGGAAAAGAACCCACTTTTAACCCTCTTACAAGTGCCACACTCACCCCTGGGTGAGCCCAGCACGCAGCAGAGTCCAATGGGACGAAAAACCAAAAAACTCAAACCCGAAAGACCCACGAGGGGCATGGATATCGGCGAGTTATGGTGGCAAGCACGAGGCGCCACAGGCTCCAATATGGCGTCCCTACACAGCGGGTGCTCTGACTTCTATGAAGAGACGTCGGATGAGGGTGAAGGGGAGCTTCAGCCATCACTAGCTCGAACGCAACCCCCAATGTAACCCCTGCCGACTACTATGGCCCCCACGCCGGTGAGCATGGAAGCCATTAGAGACCTTATGGCGGAACATCACAAAAAGATTGCGGCAGATGTCGCCTCGATTAGAGACACATTACAGGGTCTCACCGGACGGATCGGGACCGTGGAAACCACCATGACCACCTAAACCGGCCAAATACAAACGCTGCAACAGGAGGTTCAGGAGTTGAAACGGGCAGAACGACCTCCGATTTGCCGCACTTGAAGACAAACGCCGCCTAAAGCACCTTAAGGTCAGGGGCATCACCGACAATATTCCTGATGCTGAACTACCCCACGTTATTAGGCGGCTCCTTACGGCTCTACTAACCCAGAGGGTTGCCAAAGTGGTGTCAATAGACGGAATTTTTCGCATCCCAAAGCCCACTGGGGCCCCAGCCACAGCTACGAGAGATGTCGTCCTGCAGTTCCAAGCCTACAAGGATAGAGCTGCAGTATTAGCAGCCACCAGAGATCAACCAGCCTACCACTTTGAAGAAATGGCTCTCACCTTTTACCCTGATCTCTCAGGGGCAACATTGGCTTGGAGGAGGTCCCTGCAACAACTGACCTCCCTCCTGCGAGCACAACGCATCAGGTACCGCTGGGGCCCGGCTCATACTCTACTGGTCACCAAGGGCGACACCACACTCACAGTGCGCAGCATGCAGGAGGCACCAGCGACACTAAGACAGCTGAATCTCCCACCGGACCTACCGGCTTTACCGACACCAAAGGGCAGGCATACGAACCCACCGACTTGGAGCATGGCCGGCGCTGCAGAATTCGTCCCTAGAAGACACACCGGTGTACCTAAAGAAGCAGCCACCACCTGACAATTTTGAAACATCAGGACTATAACTTACCTTGCCGGGACTCTAGCCTAACATAATGAACTCACTTTGGACTACTGCTCCCAGATGAGCTAACACCCTGCTTTGCGGAGGGCGGCACTCCTTTACCCACCGACATACGCACATCACCCGTTAACACTAGGACCCACTATGGGTGGTCTCACTAGGTAGATGCCGAGCTACCCTTCGCATTCCTGACACCACACAGGCACCCTAAACTACCCGCCCAGTAACCAGGAGCTGACAGTTAACCTCTACCTGGCTCCCCTCATGAGAGCACTAACCCCCACGCATGTGACCATGAAGGTCCCTCTTAAGCTACCAACTAGCAGACACTACACGCACCCCCAAGCAATGCAATCACACGGTAGACATGCCTAAACACATAGACATACTCTATGACAGTCCCGTCCAGAAGAACACACCACCCTACCTGCACTAATACAATCCAGCCTTCGATAACCCACCATAACTCACAGTGCATACTTCTCTCACCACTACGGCTGTGTTATGTGTACAAGAAAATATGCGTTAATCTTAGAATGTTGTATAAATTTTTATTTTGGTTACTTGTTCCAATGTTAGACTACACAGTGTAACTTTATTAACCTCTAAGCAACTTAATTATAACTGCATATCGTTCCAACATGTATCTAACCGCAAAATTAATAATTGTGCACAGTATTTCCTATGCCATGATACTAACTGTTGTATATCGGTCTCTTACCGCTGTTGTGGCGTAACAGACCTAACTGTCATTATATGCACGAACAAAAATAAAGAATTTAAAATTTTTTTTTTTTTAAATTCACATTTTAAATTCTACGGGTGTCATTTTTATAAGGATACATTACAGATATTAGGTATTGTTGAAGCATTTTATCAATAGAAAAAAATAGTCTCATGTTATTAAATGTGATTGTAAGGTCACGTATAAGAAACCTACACAGGTAACTGTTCTAAATAATATAAGAAAGACCAAATCAACAAGTTGTTCAACAGCAGACACACTTATCGAAAGGATGTCATCAAGGTTGATTTGACCTCCTTAAACCACACTTGATTGGCAGAAATGTGCCTATCACATTGCAGAAGTCTTTTGTTTTTATAATTACTTTATTTTATTTTTTCTTCTTCTACAGGAATGCTACGTGAAACACGTAAGTAATATAAAGTGGGATAACCTTATAAAATAATATGACACAATCACATTCTGTAAAAGATTTACAATAACACAAACTTATTGTATTACGTATTCGTGAAGAATTAGTCTAAATGTATCTAGAAATGATATATTTAGGGCATAAATAAGAAACCGATAACTGTTCTAAATAATATCAGGAGGACCAGATCAGCAAAATGTTCAACAGTTATCTTTTATTTTACTGAACTAATATCATCAAAGATTGGTTTGACTTCAGTAGATAAATCTTACTTGACTAACAAATGTGTGCCGATTTTCTTTTGGTTTTATAATTACTTTTTTTTTCCTTTTCTTCAGAAAATAAACATGAAATACGTAAGTAAAATAAAGTAGGATAACTTTATAAAATATGATACATTTGCATTCTGTGTTCACTAAAATGTTTTTAGGAAAAACTGTTTTTGGTCAAAGTAACTTTTCTTTACTGATTTCACCTTCCTTGCCCCAAAAATGCTAAAAAATATAGAAAAAAAGTTAAACCTTAGCGATGTTCCAGATATGAAGTATTGCTAGGTTGGCCCTAGGTTGCAGTATCCTTTCCTTGTTTACAGTGGATATGTACTGTATGGTAGGCACACAGGATTTTATGTGTGCTAAAGTAGAGGCAGTAGACAGTGTGCTGGAGAATTTATCTATATTGCACTTTCTGTTATATATTCCTGCCTTTATTATTATCTTTTCCTTGGCATCTAGATCTTAGGTGTGCTGAGAGATAGGCAGATAACCTATCTGTGTCTCTGGGATATTGTGCTAACCTAGGGACAGTGAAAGGTTTAGGAAATTCTCTGCTATATGTCTGTTTCTTACCTTTATCCACCTGTATCCCTGCTACTCCTTTGTTCAGCCTATTTTGTTACTTCTTACTTCTCTAATGCAGGGCCAGTGCAAGGATTCTTGCCGCCCTAGGCAACAATCCATTTTGCCGCCCCCTCATGAATGAAACTACATTCTTTCAGAAGTTTATTCACTAAATGCTGAATTGCAAAAGAGTGATATTTAGGGAAGGAGACACATTAGACATTAAAGGGACACTATAGGCATCCAGACCACTTCAGCTCATTGAAATGGTCTGGGTGCGGTGTCCCTATTGCACTTAGTGTTGTAATGTAAAACATTTCAGTTTTAGAGAAACTGCAATGTTTACATTGCAGCACTAAGTCTGCCTCCAGTGGCTGTCTGCTAGACAGCCACTGGACCGCTTCCTAGATGTTAACGGACTTTTGGTCTGGTTACTGATGCTGGACGTCCTCATGCTCTGTATGAGGACATCAAGCATCAGATAGATTTCCATAGGAAAGCATTGATTCAGTCCTTTGCTATGGGGAGAGCCTAATGCACGTGGCATGCGCATTTGGGCCCCCTCATCAGTAGGACATATCTGATGGTCCATGTGTAATAAAGACCATTTTGATCATGTTATATTACTGACACATACAATATATTGATTCCTTAATTTATTTTGTACCCTCTCCGTCTCTCGATATATATAATAATTAACTGACAGTGAATATGTCAACTATGGACATTTGTTTCATTTGGCCTTTTCCAGGTTATTTACCAAAGTGAGAATTCAAAGTGAATTTAAGTAGTCGTGTTTGACTTGGTCCTTTCATAGCATTAAAAACATTATTGAATTTCAGAAATTTTTGTATCACTAATTAAAAGTGTTGTATTTTTTCCAGGTATACTTAAAAGATACTATGCTGCATCTAAAGGTGAATTGTGATTTCCAAGTGATCTAAACATTGATCAAGTGATCTACACTGCATGTAGACACCCACATATGTTCATAAACAAGCTTAAGGGTTCCCATCTGACCTATGTATTTTATTACACCATCAAGATATTTTTTTAATATCGGACATAGTTAAAGATGAGGCGATGTGTTAAGTTTTACACTGGGTGGTCAAAGTTTGGTTACACTTGGTGACAGCTGTTTAAGCATTTATGATCAGATAAGATAAGCAGACAAGGCATTTAGGTCAAGAGTTTCGCAAAATACAATCCTGCTTATTGTTCCTAAATAGGTTCCTTACTCCGAACCTATTTAATAATATGTATTATTTCCGCATTGTTATATGGCCTTTAGATCTGCACACAAGTCTTTGTCAATGTCTTTTTAATATTACATACTATGGTTTAAATATACAGGGAGTGCAGAATTATTAGGCAAATGAGTATTTTGACCACATCATCCTCTTTATGCATGTTGTCTTACTCCAAGCTGTATAGGCTCGAAAGCCTACTACCAATTAAGCATATTAGGTGATGTGCATCTCTGTAATGAGAAGGGGTGTGGTCTAATGACATCAACACCCTATATCAGGTGTGCATAATTATTAGGCAACTTCCTTTCCTTTGGCAAAATGGGTCAAAGAAGGACTTGACAGGCTCAGAAAAGTCAAAAATAGTGAGATATCTTGCAGAGGGATGCAGCACTCTTAAAATTGCAAAGCTTCTGAAGCGTGATCATCGAACAATCAAGCGTTTCATTCAAAATAGTCAACAGGGTCGCAAGAAGCGTGTGGAAAAACCAAGGCGCAAAATAACTGCCCATGAACTGAGAAAAGTCAAGCGTGCAGCTGCCACTGCCACTTGCCACCAGTTTGGCCATATTTCAGAGCTGCAACATCACTGGAGTGCCCAAAAGCACAAGGTGTGCAATACTCAGAGACATGGCCAAGGTAAGAAAGGCTGAAAGACGACCACCACTGAACAAGACACACAAGCTGAAACGTCAAGACTGGGCCAAGAAATATCTCAAGACTGATTTTTCTAAGGTTTTATGGACTGATGAAATGAGAGTGAGTCTTGATGGGCCAGATGGATGGGCCCGTGGCTGGATTGGTAAAGGGCAGAGAGCTCCAGTCCGACTCAGACGCCAGCAAGGTGGAGGTGGAGTACTGGTTTGGGCTGGTATCATCAAAGATGAGCTTGTGGGGCCTTTTCGGGTTGAGGATGGAGTCAAGCTCAACTCCCAGTCCTACTGCCAGTTCCTGGAAGACACCTTCTTCAAGCAGTGGTACAGGAAGAAGTCTGCATCCTTCAAGAAAAACATGATTTTCATGCAGGACAATGCTCCATCACACGCGTCCAAGTACTCCACAGCGTGGCTGGCAAGAAAGGGTATAAAAGAAGAAAATCTAATGACATGGCCTCCTTGTTCACCTGATCTGAACCCCATTGAGAACCTGTGGTCCATCATCAAATGTGAGATTTACAAGGAGGGAAACAGTACACCTCTCTGAACAGTGTCTGGGAGGCTGTGGTTGCTGCTGCACGCAATGTTGATGGTGAACAGATCAAAACACTGACAGAATCCATGGATGGCAGGCTTTTGAGTGTCCTTGCAAAGAAAGGTGGCTATATTGGTCACTGATTTGTTTTTGTTTTGTTTTTGAATGTCAGAAATGTATATTTGTGAATGTTGAGATGTTATATTGGTTTCACTGGTAATAATAAATAATTGAAATGGGTATATATTTGTTTTTTGTTAAGTTGCCTAATAATTATGCACAGTAATAGTCACCTGCACACACAGATATCCCCCTAACATAGCTAAACTAAAAACAAACTAAAAACTACTTCCAAAAATATTCAGCTTTGATATTAATGAGTTTTTTGGGTTCATTGAGAACATGGTTGTTGTTCAATAATAAAATTAATCCTCAAAAATACAACTTGCCTAATAATTCTGCACTCCCTGTATATATCATATTTAATATAATACCCAATTGTCCAAAGTTGTACCAAACGTTAATTATATATTTCTGTGTCGTAAAAAAATACAACAAAACAAAACAATGCAATGATGTTTAAAGCCTGTAATAATAATATAACTTATTATGATTAACAGTGTCGGTGAACCTAGATCCTGCAACTGTACATGGTAATATCACCGTATCAGAAAATGGAACAAGTGCCAGATATCAGAGAGAACCGTCTGGCACAAGTCTCGAAGATTTTTGTGTGCGAAGTGTTAATGCATTACCCAAAGGAATTTTGTATTTGGATTTGGAGATAGAAGATACCTTGTGCACGATTGGAATTTGCAAATTCATAGAGAGAGAAGAATCAAGAGTAGTAAACACAAACGACAAGATATGTGAAATACAAATCTCGAACCTTAATAGCTCAGACACTAATAAAGGACCTCATCGGTTACGAATGTATTTACATTTTAAACTAAAATACCTGACAATTCTTAGTCTGGACACCTTGGAATACCAAACAACAGAAAAATTCCTAAAATATGATGAAGACATATACCTCTTTATAGCACTAAAGGGAAATAATACAATTAAATTATGTTAACGGTAGGAAAAAAAATCTTTATGCCAAAGATCACAGTGTAGAGTCTCTCTTTACAATATACTCCACGAGGATTTCACCATAAAATAAGGAACTTGCTGTGCAAGATGACATTTTTCTTCAACCCATAAATTGCTTTACAATATCTATAAACTTGTATAAAATCTTCTGGATTTTTTTTTTTTTTTTTTTAAAGTGCTACACCAAAAAAAGCTGCCTTTACAGTATTGACATTTTATTCTTTCAACTATTGATTCTTTGGTGAAGATTCATGTTGCTAAAGAGACGTTATGAATGCAGCATATTGTAGTTGTTATGGTGCAATGATTCTAAGCATTGTGTCCTTCTGATCTCTGAACATCCTTTCAGCACATTATCACTCCTGTTTTTTTATTTTGTAAATTGTATTATAATAAATGTATTTCTACATAACGTTGTGCCATTTTCTCGGATTTCTTCTACATAATGGCATGTGAGCACCCATAGCAAGAGAATGGTTCACTGTACTCATTCTACTAATCAGGACTACTTCTAGTTATACCGAAGATATTTATTTATTTATTTAATTTCTCCCCTTTTTTATTTTTATTTTTTCTTTCCATTTTTGGGGTTTAAGCAAACGAGGGGCGGGGGGAGGAAAATACAAGGAAGGAAAGGGGTAAAAAGATAGTAGAGTGAAAAAGGAAACAAAGATAAAACGCTCTTCTTTTTATAACTCAAAATACCTAAATCTTTATATTACTTATACCCCTCTAATTCGTATTACTCTAACAACTTTCTAAGCTTCTAACTCTTAAAACTCTTTCTTGTCTATAACTCTTTAAATTACATTACTTTAATGTAGGGATCAACTGATATTGATTTTTTAGAGCCGATAACTTGCCGATATTCTGTGCATTTACCATTTTGAAAAAAGAAACTATTTCTAAAGGTAAATGCACAAAATATACAAGCCACACGTAGTGGATGCAGTGTGTTTAGACAGTGGAGCTGTGTGTATTTGTGTAGTGTGTACATAATGAATGCAGGGTGTGTTTGTGTAGTGTGTATAGTTAATGCAGTGACTGTTTGTGTAGTGTGTATAGTTAATGCAGTGACTGTGTAGTGTGTATATAATGAATGCAGAGTGTGTTTGTGTAGAGTGTGGTATGTAAAGTGAATGCAGTGTGTGTGCATAAAGCGAGTGCAGTGTGTATAGCGAACGCAGTGTGTGTAATGTGTGTATAGTGAATGCAGTGTGTGTAGAGTGCGTATAGTGGATGCAGTGTATGTAGTGTGTGTATAGTGAATGCAGTGTGTGTAGTGTAGGCATAGTGGATGCAGTGTGTGTAGTGTGCGTATAGTGGATGCAGTGTGTGTATAGTGAATGCAGTGTGTGTAGTGTGCGTATAGTGGATGCAGTGTGCGTATAGTGGATGCAGTGTGTGTAGTGTGCGTATAGTGAATGCAGTGTGTGTAGTGTATGTATAGTGGATGCAGTGTGTGTAGTGTGTGTATATAATATAATGTAATGTAGTGTGTGTGTATATAATGCAGAGTGTGTAGTATGTGCATTATATACACACACACACTACATTACATTATATACACACACACTACATTATATACACACACTCTGCATTATATACAGAGTGTGTAGTGTGTGTATATAATGCAGAGTGTGTGTATTTTCCTGAAAGGATGTGATTTGTGTAAAATGGGGGGAGGGGGAAGAGGCATTTTTGATTTTTATTTTTAATGTTTATGTTTTATTTTGATTTCTAATGTTTATGTTTTATTTTTATTTTTAATGTTTATGTTGTATTTAAATTTTTTGTCCCCCCCTCCCTGCTTGTTAACTGGCCAGGGAGGGGGAATATGACAGTCCCTGGTGGTCCAGTGGCATGTACTGAGCTGTGGGGGGGGCCGGCAGCAAGCGTTTACCTCCCAGCAGCTCCTCTAGCTCCCTGTGTAAATCTCGCGGCCTGTGTGCCATGCGGAGCGTTGCCATGGTAACCCGTGGCAAGGCTCTGACGGCTGCGGGTCACTCAAGATTTACACAGGGAGCTGGAGGAGCTGCTGGGAGGTAAGTAAACGCTTGCTGCCGGCCCCCCCTCCTTCTTCAAGTTGTCTCCCTGGGGTGTACTCTGTTAGACCTCCAGGCTGGTTTGACATTACACAAACTCTGTTGTCCCAGAAATATGCACGCAGCATACCAAAAGTAGACCTTCCAAGGTGCTGGTTTATTAGGTAAAATTCACACATAAAATAATAAAAAAAATATAGATTAAATAGAAATACCAGATATGATGTCTCTGGATAACTCTTTTTTTTATAAATTCTTTATTTATATATAACATATGTGAGGTTACAGAACAAAAAGAGGGCTTAGAGGGGGTACCATCATACACAACAAAAACCACAGAGATTTGCAATTAGTACATTTGTATATCAATGAGCATAAAATTTATGGGATCTCGTGGGATGTGCATTCTCGTACCTTCACGTGTATGAGAGATGTTCCTCCTGTTCTGAGCGTGTGTGGCTATGTGTGCATTTGTCTTGTTTGTCTGGGGAGGGAATAGGAGGGATGGGGGGGGAGCGGTGACGATGGTGGGGCGTGCGCAGGCAGGAGGGGTACGGGGCTATTGGGGTGGGAAGTGGTCGGTTGGCGTGTGTTTATGCCCACGCTCGTGGTCTCCGTGGGTCATCTTGCTGCTCCACGGGCAGTCCTTTCCCTGCTTTGCGTCCCGTGTGGAGAGACAGGACCAGGAATGGGGCTCTCGAGAGATGCCTTGTGTTGTCGGCGTTTGACTAGTCATTGCATTGTGAGTGCTATTGGCTGTGGTGGGGGTGTGTTGCCCTATGGGCTCTCTGGAGCACCCGAGCGTGGTTGATGGTGTGTGGGCGGAATGAGGAGGGGGGGAGGTGGTCTCGGGGGAGGATGTGGGTCCCGCCGTGTTAGTCTGTGCTGGGCAGACGGTGGTGACTGTGGTGTGCCTCCATTTCTTAGGATGGAGAAAGGGGCCTTGTGGGGATAGATGCCCTCTCTATCCACGCTTGCAGGGCCCCGATGGGGTGCGGGGGGGAGGGTCGGGGTAGGAAGGGAGAGAGAGAGAGGGAATGGGGGGAAAGAGGAGAAAAAAAAAAGGGGAGGGGGGGTGCATTCTGGCTTCCGTCCCATGTTGAGCAGATCCCGTTCAGGGTTCCAGTAGCATTGCGCCTGTGTGGTAGGCCTTCTGTGCGAGGTATCATTGAGGGGGCGCTATCCTCAGTCCGGGGTGTCCGTTCTTAGGCTGGCCTCCAGCAATTTGGTGTGGTTCGCATCCCAGGGATCCCATATACGATGGAATGATTTGTACGTATCATTAATCTGTGCTGTCAACTCGTCTAGGTCACGGGTCTCTTTAATTTTGCTGATGATCGTAGAGATGTGGGGTGTTCTCTGGTCAGCCCATAGTTCTGCTATTGCCCTTCGGGCTGCTAGATTGATTCGGGCGGTTAGTTTGTTTTCACTCCTCGTGAGGGAGTCTAGTGGTTTGCTGAGTAGCATGGTCCACGGTTGCACGGCCACTGGCTTCTCTATGATCGTTTCTATGAGGGTGCTAACCTCTTCCCATAGTGGTTTGATTTTGGGGCATGTCCACCAGCAGTGTAGGTAGCGGCCTGCTTCGCCGCATAGGTTCCAGCACCCGTCGTCTGGTTTCTGGCCCATCTTGTGGAGTCTGTGTGGAGTCAGGTACCAGCGGAGCATTGTTTTGTATGCCTGCTCTTTGTGCGTGACGCATACGGTAAGGGAATTTAGTGTTTCCCATATGGCGGCCCAATCGGTAGGGTCCTCCGGCGCTCCCAGATCTCTTTCCCACGCGGCAATATAGGTTAGGTTAACCTGGGAAATGTGGGTGGTCAATGTTGTGTAGTTGGCGGAGATTTGGCCTGGTTGCAGGGGGGCCGCTAGGCATTGTTTTTCGTATGCTGTCAGCGGTGAGGTACCTGCTTGTTTGATTAGTGGTTGTTGCGCTAGGTCTCGGAGTTGTATATAGCGAAAATGATCAGCTGTGGTCAGAGCCCCCGCGTTTGGGAGTTCGTTGTATTTAAAGATTTCACCTTGCTGGTACAAGTGGCCGAGTCGTGAGATATCTCGGTGGTCAAACGCTAGAAAATGCCTTGCTGTCATTCCGGGAGGGAAGAGTTTGTTACGATAGATCGGGGTCATTGGGGAGAGAAAGGAGGACAGGTCGTATTTAGTATTGAGTTTATCCCAGAGTGCGATGGTATGTGTGATTGCCGGAGAGGTGGGTGGGGGGAGTGGGCGGTGTATCCGTGGTACCCAGATGTATGAGGAGGGCTGATCCCAGCCCAGAATATCATGTTCCAGGTCTACCCAGCGTTTACTGCCGGGGAGGGCATGCCATTGTTGGATATGGGCCAATTGGGCCGCGTGGTAGTAATGTTTGAAGTTGGGTAGTCCCAGCCCTCCTCTCAGTCTAGGGACGTACATTGTTGTTCTACGGATCCTGGGTTTCTTGGCTTTCCATATGAATTTGTCTATGGCCGTCTGGAGACGCTTGAAGTCCGAGTTTAGTAGCGGGATGGGTAGTGTCTGGAAAAGGTAGAGAAATCTCGGCAGGAGGTTCATTTTGATTGTGGTGATTCGCCCCATCCAAGAGATTCCCAGTTTGTCCCAGCGTTGGTCTGCGTATGCTGTTTTGAGGAGTGGCGTGTAGTTGATTCCGTATGTGTCTCCAAGGTCCGAGGATAGCTTGGTGCCTAGGTAGGTAATGAAGGACTTGGTGACGCGAAACGGGAAGGAGTGGTGGAGCAGTTGCAACTGTGGGTCTGATAGAGCTATGGGCATTAAAGTAGATTTGGTTAGATTGATTTTGTATCCTGAGAGGGTAGAGTATTCGCTTATGAGGTGCAGTATTGCATGTAGAGAGGATATGGGATCTGTTAGAGTGAGAAGAACATCATCAGCGTACGCTGCCACTGTGTACGCTTCCTGTCTTATCTGCACTCCCCGAATGCTGGGGTGGAGGCGGATAGCTTGGAGCAGGGGTTCCAGTGCAATTGCAAAGAGGAGGGGGGAAAGGGGACAGCCCTGCCTGGTCCCGTTGGCGATGGTGAAGGTTTGGGCATTGACGTGTGGGAGTAGAAGCGTTCCCGTGGGACGATTGTAGACCGCCCGCAATATGTTCAAGAAGCCTGGCGGAAATTGTAGATGTGCGAGTACTCCGTACATGAATGGCCAGAGAAGGCGATCGAACGCCTTCTCCGCATCCAACGAGAGCACCACTGACGGGATGTTGCGATGTTTGGTGTACCAGATCGTATCGAAGGCTCTTCTGGTGTTATCCGCCGCCTGCCGCGTGGGGATAAATCCGACCTGATCTGGGTGAATCAGTGTGGGAAGGTACGGATTAAGGCGGTTGGCCAGTACTTTCGTAAGTATTTTCAAGTCGATGTTTAATAGGGAAATTGGGCGATAGTGCCCTGGGTCTAGGTGTTCTTTCCCAGGTTTGGGTAGAAGGCAGATATCAGCCGCCAGCATGTCCGGGGGGAGTGGGTGGCCTTCCAGCACTGCGTTGAAGACTTTGCATAATTGTGGTATAAGGATCGTTTGGAATGTCTTATAGTAGATGGCTGTAAAGCCGTCGGGTCCTGGGCTTTTCCTGGGTTTCAGCGTCTTGAGGACCGAGGCGATCTCTTCCACCTCCACGGGTGCTTCTAATCTGTTTTGCTCCTGTGTAGAGAGGGTGGGAAGGTTGAGGGGTTTCAGGAAGGAAAATATGGCGTCCGTGTGCGCCGTTTCTCCTGTTGGTGTCATGGTGTTGTGGTTATATAGGTCGGAATAATATTTTAGGAATTCGAGGGCTATGATTTCGGGGTCCGTTGATAGCTCTCCGTTTTGGGTTTTGATTTTGGAGATCTTTTTTTGGTCCTGCTTTTTCCGGAGGCAGCGTGCTAGTAGTGAGTCGGCCTTATTGCCCTTCTCATAAAAGCGCTGTTTGGACCACATTAGGTTCCGTGCGACGTCCGCCGCCGAAAGTTGGCTGATCTGTTCCCTCGTAGATTTGAGTTGCGAGAGTAGGTGTTCGGAGGGGTTCTGTTTGTGTAGGGATTCAAGCCTGTCGAGGGTGGTCAGGGCCTCTGTGAGTTTCGAGAGGCGTTGTCTTTTGAGGGCCGTGGCTAGTGATATGAGGGTACCTCTAATGGTAGCTTTGTGGGCTGCCCACACCATGGGTGGGGTTGTGTCTTCGGTGTCATTGAGATCGAAATAGGTTTTGAGGTGTTCCTCCATAGTGTGGATCGTGGCTTTGTCTTTTAGGATCCAGGGGTTCAGCCTCCATTGCCATGGGCGTGCTCCGAGTGGGATGCGTACTGTAAGCGAGATTTCCGCGTGGTCAGACCATACTATATTTCCGATGTGGGAGTGGATGGACCACGGCAGCACCGCTGGCGAGACCAAGAAGCCGTCAATACGGGAGTAAGATTTGTGGGTATGGGAGTAAAAGGTGAAGTCGCGAGACGACGGGTGCTGGCTCCTCCAGACATCCAGTAGGGAGGTCGCAGATAGAAAGTCGGCGTACAGTTGGTCGTTCCTAGTCGGGGCTGGTGCGGTGCCTGTGTGTGTGCGGCGGTCCAGAGTGGGGGTGTAAGTTGCGTTGAGATCACCTCCTATGATTAGATGTTTGGCTGGTAGGCCGGCTAGATGGGTTTGGAATGTGTGCCAGAATGTGGTGTCTGGAACGGATGGGGCGTATAAAGAGCATATCGTAAGGGGGAGGTTCCCCGCGTAGCCTGTGAGGAAAATAAAACGGCCTGAGGAATCCTTGTGGGTTTGTATGTCCGTTAGTGGGCATGTGTTGCGTAGCAGGATGGCTACTCCCTTCTTTTTGGGCTCCTGTGAGTTGGCTAGGTAGCTGCGTTTGAAGTGTCTGTTAACTAGCGGGAACTGCTTCTGATCTGTGAAATGGGTTTCTTGGAGCAGTATGATATCCGCCCCTGTGCGGTTAGCCCAACGGAGTATCCCATGTCTTTTCCCAGGCGAGTTGAGTCCTTTGACATTAAGAGAGGTGATACTAATGTGGGTTTTCCGGTGCGCCATTTGTAGTGCTTAATGGTGCTTATAGGAGGCTGAAAGGTGGGGGATAGCTGTGTACCGTCGCCCGGTATCCGGGTTCGTGCTGCCTAGATAGGGCAGAGAGGGGGAAGGTGGGGAGTGGGAAGAGGGGTGGGGGGGTAAGGTTAGGGGTGGTATGGGGGCCCTGCCTGCGTGGGCCCGTCTGAGGGTCTCAAAGGGAGTTGGGTGGTTGAAGACTGGACTTATCAACCTGGCCAGTCGTGGAAGTGGCGGGGGTCTCGGTGTGTTGTCCTGGGGCTCTTTTGGCAAGATCCAGGGTGGCCGAGGCCAGTGGGGGAGGTGTCTGCAGAAGTGACAGAGTACGTCCGCGACCTGCCTGCGAATTCGCAATTTGATCTGAGCCGGGGGGGGCGCGGGGGACGGAAGGGGAGGGGGGGGAGCGGGGTCCCGGGGGTCCCATTTGTGTGTGCGAGGTCGGTCTGGGCCAAGGGGGTTCTGTTGTCTCGGCCCCGCCTGTGCGGGGGGCGGCTCTCCGTAAGCTTGGAATGGTGTTGTGGTTGATGTGTGCCCGAGGGGGCTCCCGCACGTCCGGGCCCGAGGGCCAGGTCCGCGCAGCCCGTGTGCCTCCACCTGTCCCGTTGGGAAGGAGGTGCCCTGCGGCCTCCATATCTGGGCCTGTCCGTGGGTCGCCCCCCAGGCGCAGGTATGTGTGTATTGTGCCCGCCCGTGTGGGGCCTAGTCTTTGGCCATCTCCCCCTGACCTATCGTGCGGGGTGGGGGCAGTGGGTCTCCAATAGGGATGATGTTGCCGCCTTCGGCCCGTTGGACCGCGAGTGGGGGATGGTGCTGGGGTGTAGCGTAAGCTATGGTGCCTGGTGTCGTGGCGTGTGGCGTATTGATGGACTGAGTGTCGTGTGTGTCCGCCCGCCACCCACAGCCCTAGTGAAGTGCATCCCGCCCGCAGCCACCCACTTTCCCAATAAAACATTTTAACAGTATAGCGTAACCTTGCTTGCATGCAATATAAAATCATACCAAACATGTCAACTTTGTCGGAGGAGAGGAAGCAGCGGTCTTGACAAGCGTCTCATGCCTCCCCAGTCATGAGCCCTTGTTTGCAGACCCCCCACCCCGTGTCGCCGTCGGTGTCCTTTTTGCGTCTGGGGAGGATTGAAGTCCAGTCCTTCCATGTCTCGTCTGTCAATAGGATGGGAGGGGAGAGGGGCGTGCGGGGCGCACAGTGGGGGCCAGTCGTGCGTAGTTGTCCTGCGGTTCTGAGTTAAGTCAGGGAGGTGCACACGGGGTGAGTCCTGTGTTAGCCAACTCCGGTCTCCCGGGGTGGGGGGGGCAGGCACAGTCTGGGTGTCCACTGTGGATGGGGCCTGGGGGGGTATGGGTCCTACACTGTCGGGGTGCTCCGTAGAAGGGCGTTCTCATTGGTTTCTGTCCTGGAGGGGCCGTGGGTACATTCAATCAAGCGATGTCCCCATTTCTTTTGGTGTTGTGGCACCCTCCTGTTGGGCCGGAGGGGGGGGGGCGCCGGGTGCGGCGCTCTGGGGCCGCTGCCGGTGACCGACATTGGGGCTGGCCGTGGCCGTCCAAGTCGGGGAAGGGGCCAGCGGGGGCAGTCCGGGCAGTCAGCTCGTCTGTGCTGTAGAGGGTCCTGGACCCCTTGTCTTGTTACCCTCCCGCCCCCGCCCCCGCCCCCCCCACCCCCCCAACAACAACGGCCCCCCCACCCCAGCCTCCCCCCTCCCTCGGTCCGGGGGGCAGCAGCTCCAGTGTACAGAGACCCACACTCCAGGTGGGGGAGTCTGCGCCCCCCGAAGGCCCCGTACCAGATGCCGGCTCCGGCCAGGATATAGTCCCAGTCCTCCCAGGATCGTCCCTCTATAGTTTGCGCTGGCGGAGGGTGTGTGGCTGTCCGTGATCCGGGAGTCTCCGTGCTCACGGTCCATATCGTGGGTGATCGTTGATGTGGTCTCTGGTGAGGGCTAGAAGGTCGTGGGCAGGCCTTGGTATAAAAGGAGGGGAGGTCGGACGCCCGGGGCGAGGGGGGAACTTGCTGCAAATATTCCGGTACATTGGTCCCGGGTCCGACCACGTCCGTGGGGGGGGGGCCTGCGCTTGAGCCCTCAGACTCTGTGGGGACTCGGCTCTCCGGCCCACTGGGGTGTCTGGAGTGTGGAGGTTGGGTCCCATGACCAGTCTCGTTCCATGGGGGCGTGTGGGCTCCGTCCCAGGGGGCCAAGGCCCGGGGCCAGGAAAAAAAAAAAAAAATTTTGTTTGAAGATTAAAAAATAAAGTTCTAGTCCCCTAGGGGGTCCCAACAGGGGTTTCGTCTGAGGGCATGGGCGTAGGGGGCCGCAGACCGCTGCTCCGTTCGTGCTTCCTCTCAGTGCGGTGAGTTTTCCGGCTGGTTGAGAGCCGCATTCCGGTGCATGCGTTCACCGGGTCTGGTGGGCAGGTTGCTGGCCAGCGATCGTTGGTGAGCCTGGTCGGCCCTGGGGTGCGCTGTGTCGGGTAGTTGCGGTAGGTCCAGCTGGTCCAGGAGCGTGGGGATTTCCTCCGGTTTCGTGATGGAGTGGAACCTGCCATCTTTGCGGATGATGATCCTGAAGGGGTGACCCCAGGCATACCGGAGGCCATGTCGGGTAAGGTGCTGTGTGAGTGGACGCAGGTCTCTCCTGCGTTTCAGGGTGGTCGGCGCCAGATCCTGGAACAGCTGGACCGGAACCCCCTCCACCACCACAGGGCTATCTCGGGCTGCTTTCATAATGCGTTCTTTAATGTGGTAAAAGTGTAGTTTGACGATGATATCCCTGGGGGTGGCCATGTTGGCACTGGGAGCTCGCAATGCTCTGTGAGCCCGGTCCATAAGGAGGTCGGCAGCTGTAGCTTCTGGGAGCAGGGTTTGGAAGACCTCTGTGAGAGTGTCGGTGAGTAGGTCTGTGGAGACGGATTCCGGAATGCCCCTCACTCTAATGTTGTTCCGCCGTGTTCTGTTGTTCAGGTCTTCATTTGCGTCTTCAAGTGAGCGCAATTGGTCTCGGAGAGTTTGTATCTCGGTCCCCTGTGTTGATACCGTTTCTTCAGTGGCCGCCATTTTGTCTTCTGTGGCCTGTGTTCGAGCTGAGAGTTCCGACATGGTTGCCAGTATGGGGCATAGCCTTTTTTCAAGTTCTTCAGCCACGGACTGTTTAAAGTCGGCCAGGAAGCCCCGCATATCGTTCCTGGTGAGGGGGGCTTCAGTACGTTCCGAGTGAGCGTGGCTGCTCATTTCAGAGTCTGAGTCCGTAAGGGGGGCCTCCGAAGATGGCGCCCGGGTCTGCTCGGGCTTCTGCCTAAAGATCGGCGCCACTGCCGAGTTACGGGCTTTTTTCCCGCCGCCCATGGAGAGGATTAGTGCCGGCTGTAGCAGGGGTAAGAAGGGATGGGTGTAGGGTGTGTGGGGGGCTCAGGTGCTGTGGATGGCTTCGGATTCAGGCTAGGCCTTTGCGGAGCTAAGGAGTTATGCTGCCATCTTCGTGCAGGGTTAGGCTCCGCCCCTCCTCTGGATAACTCTTTAGTTCAATAATGTCCAAAACACGTTTCACCCGAGAAACAGGCTTCCTCAGTTGGTTGTGTTCTATCGTGTTGTCTGTCTTCTTCCCGCTTGTTTCGGGCTGTTGGAACGCAACGTGCGTTCCAGCGTCTCGCGTCATCATGCACTTATTTCCGGTTCGTTCAAAGTTGGACTGCGCATGTGTTTCGGCTTGTTGACATGTAGAAAACTTTATTACCCGAATTCCATTTAGTGCTAGTTTAGGTTATGCATTCCAGAGTGGTTTTTCAATGTTTGTTAAAACTTTATTGTCCACTGAAAGTAGGCATTGTTCTTCAATGCATAGAGCCGTTAATATATCCACTTAAGGACCGAGGACGGTTCTGGACCGTCATCGGTATTTTAGCGTTGCCGACCGCTGATGGTCCTGAACCGTCCTAACGGTGTATTGTACTTTACCCGATCGCCGTCGTTTCCCCAGCGGTGATCGGTGGTGTTCCCATTGTGGGGAGACTGCCTGCAGCCCAGACAGTCTCCCCGCGGCAGATTAGGACCCCTGGGGCCATGTGATTGCTCAACACATGGTCACAATAGGTGTCCTAGTGTCTGCCTGCAGGCAAAAAAAATAAATAAATTATATATGATATATAGACATATATTAATATAAAAATACACTTATAATTAAATTACATATGTGTATATATATAATATATAGAATAACTATATATATTGTATATGTATATATATTATAAAGTAATTTAAATTAAATAAAATTTTTTAAAAATAATAATGTAAAAAAAATTATATAGCTAAATGAAATTTTATTCTAACTGTATTTTGATAATATATATATATATTTATATCAAAATACACTTAAAATGAAATTGTATATATATATGCATGTATATATAAATAAAAATACGAAATATACATATGTCCACATACAAAATTACATAAATAATTATATAAATATATACGTATACTTCAAATATATAAATATGCATATATATTTAAATTCTACATGCGTATTTATGTAATATTTTTACATAATTAAGTAATTTTATAGATTGCAATTTGAGGGACCTGCCTGCCAACCCAGGCCGAAAGTCCAGAGAATTTAATTTGCTAGCACTGTATTTTACCGTTCTATGACACCCTAAAATCTGTACATCGGGGGTACTGTTTTAATCGGGAGACTTCGCTGAACACAAATACTAGTGATTTGAAACAGTAAAACATATCACAGCGATGATATTGTCAGTGTGAGTGACTTTTTTTGAATTTTTCACACAAAGAGCACTTTTACGGATGATATAATTGTTGTGATACGTTTTCCTGTTTTGAAACACTAATATTTGTGTTCAGCAAAGTCTCCCGAGTATAACAGTACCCCCCCGCCCCCACACCATGTACAGGTTTTATAGTGTTTTTTGAAAGTTACAGGGTCAAATATATGGGTCAAATATTTTTACATTTAAATTGGCCAGGTTGGTTACGTTGCCTTTGAGAGCGTATGGTAGCCCAGGAATTAGAATTACCCCCATGATGGCATACCATTTGCAAAAGAAGACAACCCAAGGTATTGCAAATGGGGTATGTCCAGTCTTTTTTAGTAACCACCTAGTCACAAACACTGGCTAAAATTAGCGTTCAATTTAGTTTTTTTACTTTTTTCACACACAAATATAAATATACACAAACAAATATAAACGCTAACTTTGGCCAGTGTTTGCGACTGTTTTGAAACCGCAATGTCCTACTTGTACTTATAGCCCTATAACATGCAAAAAAATTGCAAAAAAGCATGTAAACACTGGGTATTTTTAAACTCAGGACATTTTCAAATTAAAATTTTTAATCTATTTAGCAGTTTTTTTCATTTGCTTTTGTAGATGAATAAAAGATTTTTCAAGTAAAAGTAAAAAAACAATTTTTCATCATATTTTTTTAAAATTATATTACATGAGATTATATAAAAAATGGTATGTAAAGAAAGCCCTTTTTGTCCTGAAAAAACAATATATAATTTGTATAGGAACAGTAAATGAGAGAGTGGAAAATTACAGCTAAACACAAACACCACAAAAGTGTAAAAAGAGGCCTGGTCGCAAATGTACAACATCGCAAAAACAGTCCGGTCCTTAAAGGGTTAAAGGGAGTGTTGTAGTTATATACATATAATCATTTAAAACAAGGTAAAATACAAAGAAGTTATATAAATTCCAATAAAATCCCATAAAAACATAAATATGCCATAAAATAT